TATTCACTTTGAGGCTATCCAAAACCAGTTCTTATATCAAAGTGAGGCTTTTCTGAAGGCACATTGCCCTGTCCCCCTCACTGCCTTGGGTGGGATGGGGGAAGCCTGCTGACCCCTTCCTTCCCCTGGGGCAGCCAGCTGAGTCTAAAACTTCAAAACAAGCCAAATAAAGCCAACCACCAAATCTAATGACAGCTGAGGTGGCATAGGCTCAGTCCAGACACACATCCATATGTGACCCACAAGTTTGGAATGAGCTGGAGCAGTTACTTAGGGGTTATCAAAGGACTAAGCACACTATACCATCTGTAACTGGTACCATTGCCCTTTTAATGTCTTCTGTTGGAACATCTTTTCAGTTTGGGGCTGCTTCTGGGATAATCTACCATGTAGGGTGCGGTAACTGTGAGATACTCCCTAATTCAATCCATCACAGCAGCTCCTGTGGCCAGTGAGGAAGAGACACAGCCTGCCTGGCACCTAGACAGCCCTCCGTCTCAGCCTGCCGCCGTCTTGGACAAATGTTCTGAGCCTGCTTCTAATAGCTGTTCTGGGTCCTCAGAAGGCCCTGCCTTATCCCTCACCCCCTCAGCGGGCTCTTCAAGTGGCCTCTCGAGTTCATCTCTCCAGGAGTTTCAGAGAGCCACAGCCACCCTCGTCCAGCTTTCTAGCAGTTCCTCTTCCCTATCTAACGTGGAAGCTGAAGACACACTGCGTGCAGATCCCAGTTGGTCTAGGGAGCTTTCTGCTCATGACTCCTGGGAGGAACCTGGCCTGCCTTCATTCTGGGGCCTCCACCAGGGACTTCCTCAGCTGGAGGGGGTTCGTGGGGATGTAGGTCAAGTGACCCTGAAGAGACTGGAAGACAGTGGAGCCAGACTCCTGAGTGGCTTCTCTGAGGAGGCAGCTGTGGCACCAGTCTCAGAGTCTGGAGCCAGACTCCTGAGTGGCTTCTCTGAGGAGGCAGCTGTGGCACCAGGCTCAGAGTCAGGGTACAACTTCCTTCAGGCAGGCTGGCCATTGTCATTCTCACACGTTCCATCTCCAAGACTGGGGTCAGAGTTGTCAGAGTCCTCCAGCCAAATCTGGGATGAGAACAATGAGGAGAACCTTGAAGAACCCAGCCCTTGTGTTGAGCCACCCTCAGGGAGCTCCTTGCCTGCAAATGGTTCATTGGACATGGAAGGCAGTGGAAGGCCTCATACCACTCTTCCCTCCCTGGGGCCTGGGGAAGAACAAGATGCTTCCAGATCCAGCAGGAGTGTGACTGATACACTGAATACAGGGAAAGCCAGGCAGATGTCCCCTGTGACCACCTTCACAATGTTCCCACATCAGATCCCTTCTACCAGTGACTCAACTCTGCTACTGTCCTTTCATTTGGACACTCCCTCCTCTGAAAGGGCAGGTCTAAGTAAAGGAAACATACCTACTGCAGCCTCAGCTGGCTACCAGGAGGAACCCCAGGATGTTGATACTAGTCCCTCCATAGAAAGGAAGCCCTTACAGGCCTTGCCTGATCCTAAGGCCCCTGTGACCCTGAAGGCTCCTTCTGAGGACAGAGCTCCCCTTGTCACAGAGGTAGCCAGGCCCTCATATGTAGATGGCTTCCTGACTGAAATACTGTCCCCTGTGGATGAGGAGCTATCTTATGGCAGTGGGGACCTTCCATCCTCTATCCATAGGGACACTCACCTCCCTCCACCACCTCCTACTCCCCAAGCAAAGAGTGACACCAACGAGACCAGCCCCAGCTCAGAAGACTTCCCTTCCCCGCCTGAGGAGGCCATGTTTCCAGGTGACTTACTGGATACCCTAGAAGAGGATCTGTCCATTACTGCTGAGGACATGTCCTCCCTATCTGAGGGGGCTCTGGAGGAAGCCCTTTCCCTGGGGCCCCAGGACTCACAGCACTGCCTGGGAGCATCTGGGCAAGATGGAAACCTGGATGACTCAAGTTCAATATCTCCCTTGAGTAACTGGGTAGTCAGTGCCCCTGAGACATCCCCAAGACTGTCAACTCAACCCCTGAGTCCATCCTCAGTGGCTTATGTGGCCAGAGAAAACCCTAAGGAGGCCCCAGGCAGTCAAAGTGCAGAGCAAGGAATAGAACAGCTCTTAGACAGAAGGGCAGCCATGTCGTCACCCTCCCGGTCTGCACCCTCTGAAAGCCCACCCCCAGACCCCGTGCCGTCGGTGGCTGAATCCCTCAAGCACACTAGTAAGAAGGAAGGCCAGAGCTGCTGGACAGAGGACCAGCACAAGCTTCAGGGTTTGTTGGACAGACAGCTGCTCTGTAGGAGAAACTGGACTTTTGACCCTGCCTCTGGTGCCTGTGCTGATTTTTCAGGGACAGGAGATGCTGGGCCAGTGGATCTGGTGTCTACCCAGCTTAGCAGGAGGATCTTGTGTGACTCTCTGGCTGCACTTTCAGGGTTGGCCCCTGAAGACAGACCCTAGGAGTGTGCTCCGAAATGATAGGAACTCATAGATATCTGGCATATGACTCTCTCTCTCTCTCTCTCTCTCTCTCTCTCTCTGTGTGTGTGTGTGTGTGTGTG